GGGGGGGGGGGGGGGGGGCGGGGTTGGCTCAAGCGAGTTAGTACGGCACTGGAAGTGCGTCAGAGAAGCGGTGTTTTGCTGCGTTTTTTTGGGGGGCGAAGGTAGTTTATCGGTCATCGGCGAGCGTTCCTAGGACGACCCCACCTCTTCTAGATACAGCGACGTGCTCCTGGACCGCGCGTGGGAACTAGCCATCTTGGCGCCGAAAGAATAAAGAACCCACGGAAGTGTCACCTGCCGTTCCCATGGACGGGCCCAAAGTACGTAGACGAAGCATGCGGGCCCAAAAGCACGCACAACGCAGTCAAATGCTTAGAGGTAGGCCCCTTCCAACCCGTTCTGGGTGGACACGATGAGCCACCGCCTCCGGAGGGAGGAGTCCGGAGGATAGGTAATGTGGGAACGTACACAACTTCACATCATACTTCCTACATCACGGTGTCCAACACTGGCGCGGCGCGTAGGGTTCATATTTTAAATCCATGCTACAACGAATGCGCCCCGCCCCCCAACCAGTGGCATCGAAATCACCACCTTTACCCGGACACCCGTATTTCCCGCTGTGAGCGCGAAAAAGCAGGCCTTCAAATACCGCCCCACACATACCTCGACAACAGAAGACATGCATTACGCGATCGGTCCGCGCCCGAAGCTGTGGAAGTACTTGTTCAGGAGATAGTGATCGCTTGAAATGCTGGTGCACCTCCATTCGCCCTTCTTGCCCTCTTCCTGGACCAAGGAGCACGAAGAAGCCCCAGTCTTCGCGCACGCATGCACCATGTGGACCATCGAGCGGATGCACGACGCGGGGAAAAACTTCATGGTCTTGCGGAGGTAAAAGACGTCGCAGCCCGTGGCAGCGTTGACCTTGCGCCCGTTGCCCCTCCCAGCTGTAGCGTACTCTTGCACCGCCACCCATATAGTCCACTCCCCTTCTTGCCCGTCGCCGTCCACAAGACGACTGCTGTCATTTCCTTGGTGCTCGAAAAATACGCGATTCTCCCGAGAGTGGTGGCTGCCTGTCCGCGCTCGCCGGAACGGCGAGCACTGGCATCAACGTAGAGTTCAACGTCGTTCGCTCTCGAGGTTTCCTGGATCGTCCACGTGTCACTGAGCTCGGTGGCGTCCTTTACTAGACCGCCGCGTAGAGTACCTGTTCCTGCGCTAGATTCCCCCGGTGCGTCTCCCCACTGGTTGAAGCAAGTCACAGAACCGTTGTGCAGACCTGGTCTACCTTCCCAGCAGAACGCGCACACGTCGTCTTTGCAGGGCGGTCCGGACTCTTCCCGGCGGCAGCCGAGCTTGTCTTTGTACAGGGCCTCAAGTTCTAGTGCCGTCGGAAGCGTTGCACTTACAACAGATTGCCAGTCAGCTCCACCTACTCCCTGAACTGGTGCCTCCGTTCCGACAACGTTTTGTTCCCACTCCACATAGCCCCATGGCCGTCCCGCCGACACCGTGTCTGACTGAGCGGGCGCGAGCGGCAGGACTGCGAATACGTCCTGGAGGGTGACCCTACAGAGATCGCCAGCCGTGACCGTTCGGGTTTCCCACTTCTTCCAGTCCAACCCGAGGCCGTCCACTCGACGCCGTCCGCCAGCGCTTGCATAGCTAAGCTGTCGTTCGTAGTACGCCACATGTGTTCGGCGTTGTCTCGTCCACTCGCCGAAGGAGCCGATGCTTTCTGCTGCTTGTTCTTTGCCTCTCCGACGTTGCAATTCGTCACAACGCCTGCATGTCGAACAATGCATGTTTGGGCACCAACAAGCATGGGGGAACACGATTAGGAAGTTGCACCGCGCATGTTTCGAATCCCGTCCGATGGTCGACGAGGATGAGGATCGGTGGAGAAATACGTCGAGGGCTCGCCGAGCGTCGTAGCAACAAACACAACATCGAAGCATATTACACGGCGGCGTGGATGCTGTGGGAGGGTGTGCATGGGGAGCCCACGGTTCAGGAGGCGTGGTGAAGACACAATATTCTACCAGTCGGCCTGGCTGGGTTAATTTTATTTCTCGTTCGGTTAAGGGACATGTGCTCGGGGTGCTCAGCGGGATATGTAGGTTGTTCCTCTAAATATTTAAAGTTCGTCGCGTACCACATCGCTAAGGGTGCTTCGGGCTGCACGCCATACCAAAGCAACTGCATGTTGGCGAAGGTCGTACACAACTCGACACCTAGTCTTGGTTTGAAAAACGGTTCGCATTTCGGCGCTCGTCTTTTTTCCTTCCCTTCTTTCGGGATACTTCCAGTCGTGGTCGGCGAAGTAGGAGATTGAAAATACCACTTTCGAAAGGCAGGGCGTTGCAGCTACTGTTAAAGCTCTCATGTGACCTTCATCCTGTGCGCCCCGTAGAATGTTGGTCGTATGGCGCCAGAACACAATTAGATGGGACAGGCACGCACACCCCTGGGAGGACTGCGGACGAAAGGAGGTCGCGCTAACAGGGCGCCGCGTGTGTACGTGTGAATACGCTCAAAAGGATAACCGTCTCTGAATTCACGAACTCACCGTTGACGACCACATTGGGAGCGATGTGAAGCCCTTTGTGGATGGAACCGAGAGCAACCCCCATCACGCGAGTGACTTGCTTGACCTGGACCTGGGATCACGTTCGCAAGAGAAAGCGACTAAATCAGGGAATTGAAAATGGTACATTCCTCCGCTTGTATAGGAATCGCAAGGGCCTACCCGTTTGGTGATATCTATACCGGCCGAAGGGAAGGGCGTGCGCCGGGGAAGGTGCAGAGAGATAAACGGGTGATATACGGGGAGAGAGTGGGAGAGAAAGAGAACGAGCTCTATCGACATCGGAATCGACGGTGCCGTACCCCCGTGGATGAACTAGAGTCGTATATATAAAAAGAGGGTGGGGGGGTAGAGTCACGGCAGCCAATTTTATCCCCGTGAATACCCCGCTGAGTGACCACCCCCCGGGGAGAACAGCAGCAAAACCGACACCATTTGACACCCTTTGTGTTTCCGCAATAGACACATCACAGGGAGGAGAACGGAGGAGGGCAGCCGACACAAGAGAAGCAACAAAAATTCCTCCTCCCTCTCCTCCCTTGACCCTTGAGGTAGAACTATTAACGCTGTCCATCGACATGTTCTGAACGATCGCATTATCGAGCGTTGCGGTATGTGTTTGTTGCGCTTCCTGTTATTCAAACTGCTTTTTGCAGCTCCAGACCCAACAAATGGACTCGCTTCCGAAAAAAGAAATTTTTCACGGCTATACTCTGTTCTCGTAGTCCCGGCTGTGACTTGACACGAAAGTGGTGCTTTCGTCAGACCGAGCCAGACGACGAAATCGACATCATCCCCAGCGACACCGATCCGAACACCACGACAAGCAAACCCCGGACAGACGTACCCTGGACGCGCATTACTTAATACGCGTAGTGATGGTGGAACAAATACAGCAGCCCTCATGAACCAATCCGGAACCTAAATCCCCGGGGGGGGGCTCCGATAAACAAAGTGTACTTTACCCCCGAGGCACATAAGCAAGGAGGGTATCTATCTGTGTTGGTAAAAAAATACGTGGGTACAAACGCGGCGTTCGTGCAGCTTTTCGTCGAGATTGCAAGGCGGGGTGGGGGGGGGCGACATTGTGGGCGGGATACGGCACCGTCGGTTGCGGTACGCATGAGCGGCGGGCGGCTTAGCATGTGCATGTTATCCGCGTCGTCTATAACAGCGTCTGGCGGGAGCACGCAATTGTCGGATGGCTAGACTACTGGACGCGGTCAAACTTCCCAGACCTCAGGGGTTGAAGACAAGAAAAAATTGCGTTGGTCCGTACCTGGTCGATTTGGGACTTTTGCAAAGTACCCAAGCCTTCGGCAGTAAAGGAAGGTGAGCGCACCACGAAAGAACTCCAGCTGCAAGCCTTGATGAGGTCTTGGAATGCGGCGCACACAGCCGCCTTGCCAGCGGGGGTGCCTGAGTTCACATCGATGCGATCTGCCACCTCTGCAACGACCATGGCCCGAACATAGTCGTCCTGGAATAAAGGGTTATGGAATCAAGGAGGCAGTGTGATGTGACTTGAGTCTCAAGGCAGGTATACATTGACGACATTGACGAGTTCGACCATAACCTTGGAGAAGAGCAGCCGGCCCAAAAATTGGAATCTGAAACCGGTGTCGGCCGGCTGGGCACCTCTTCTCTCCTCGGTCGCCTCTCGCCGCGTAGACGTGGTAAAGATGTCGCAAGTACAAACTCGAAAAACTTGCCTAGGGTGCTGTGCAAAAAACACCGTCACAAATACTTCCCTCGCGAGTTCATTGTCTCTGTCCTACTCTGCGGCAGGACTTTTATCCAAACGACTTTATGGCCCGAGTCCTCGACCCAACCTACGTCGTACGATCGATAGTCATACTCTGCTACGTTCCAGGGCATGCCACGACTTTTACATAACCACAAATTACCGGACTGATCGCGAGAGTGTAAATCGTATTATTGGGCCTTCGTTTGCTATATGTCCGGAAGCTGTACGAGACAGCAGTGGCTGATGTGAAAATTAGACATATTCAGCGGGGGGCAATCTGGGGTATGTGGGGCACTGACGGAATCGGATGTCTTACCCGTTTGTCAAACACGCCAGACATCATATGCGCGTGTCCACCCACACCAACTCTTTGATGAAGTACCCCAGAACCCGTCTTTGCTAATTATGTCCCCGTACTCACCAGAAGATTAGGATGGGAGAAAATTGGTGCGACGAGGAAGGGGAAGATACTGGAAACGAGCCACAACTGTTGACCAGTCAAGGCCGCCCAACCGCCAGCACTGGTGATGTCGGCCATCGGCAAAACGTTCTGGGGCAGCATCCGGCGCCATGCAAACCGACCACGCACAATCTCGGAAACAGCAGAATCCAGAGCGTCCAGCACAAAGGTCATTATCTTCTTGCCCGCGTTAAGCGCAGACTGTGTCAGCAGCAGGAACATCCGTGGGAGGAGGGGGGCAGGGTGGAGTCAGGTGGGTTAGTACTTGACCTGAACGGCACTTGGGCCTTCATCAGGGCGCATACATACCGTACTGGAGGAGAGCGGAGGGCTCCAGACTACATGTCGCTGGGTTCGATGGGATCGCGGACCCTTCGGGTTCTTTGCACTTGAGTTTACATTTTCGGGGTAACAGTTGGATCAGTAGGGACAGATGAA